TTGGTGGTGTGGCCGGAGTATTTTAGGTCCTGGGCAACCCTGAGTGTGGTGTGTTTGTGTGGTGGTGTGTGTGGGATGGGTGTTTCCTAACGTTAAGTTGTTGTATATAATCTATTATATATCTCTGATCCTGTGTGGATTGAGGATGCCTGGTACAGAGTCAAGAGCATTGCGCAAATAGCAACGCGAGTCTCACAGACTGCCGGAAAAACAGGTAATAAACTCAACTGCAAAAACAACATCCAACCTGACAAATAAAGTAGCAAAGTAGAGAGAGTGGGTTGACTCATTTAGTGCAGCTCGTAGATTAGCGTTTCGTGGATGTACCACGCGTTGAAATGATCGTGTAAAAATACTTTCATGCTGTGGATTAATTGCGCTGTGTTAACGTTTTTCTGATGTGACCGCTTGCCTGCCTAGGAGGTACGGTTCTATGATAGCCACTCACTACTTCTAAGTCTCTTCAACTTTCGACTCCCACCAGTTCTGGCCAAGAAGAAGACCAAAGAAATTCCCAGGCCATGCGAAGTGCCAGTGCCGTTGGCATGTGCCACTGCCAGTGCCCATAGGGTCGCTATATAGGGTCTATGTCCCCAGGTGGTGATACTGGCCGAACGTACCTCTACGGGTAACTATCTGATATGGTTAGGGCTTAGGTGCGAGTAGGCGTAGGCGACTCCCTAGACTCGGTTAGTGGAGTAGGCGAGTATAGTCCGGGCATATGTAGATAGTCACCAGCAGAGCATTATAAATCACGTTAAGGTTTATATGCTCTGGTTACCAGGGTACGTCTTCCGGATATTTACCGAGACCCGTACCCTGGTATATCTAGATATGCCGGACCGTACCTCGGCCTACTCACTAACGATCGAGTCTTCTATTCCCAGGCGAGTTGCCTAACGGCTACTTCCCTAACCCTAACCATATCAAATAGTTACCAGGGTACGTCCGGTTGTATACCGACCTACCCATAGGGTACGTTCTCGACAGGTTACACTGAGGGCCTTGGTGGGACATAGACCCTATGTCTATGAGCGCAGAGTGGCCAGTGGCAGTGAACCACTGACGATCGTTGGCACGTTTTGTTGTTTCATAGTGTTCCACCACTTGGCAAGCAAGAACAGAGCCCGCACGTAAGCACACACGCGGCCATTGACTATTATAACAACCTGTTCATTATTAGTCAATATAATTAAACAACGTCGAGATATAACAATAGTCAATAATAACAACGTTCGTTATTATAGTCAATGGCCGTGTTGTGTGCTGTACGTGCGGGCTGCTGCTGTCCAGTGCCAGTTGCAGTGGTGTTCACGAGTGTCATCACAGATCAGTTAATTGCATAAAGTTATTAAAATAGCCAATGCGCGCAACCAACCACCGTTATTAACTCATTAAAATGGCGTAGTCAAGCAACGTTATTAGCTAGATATAAATTGTACTGGCAAAGAAGAGTTAATCAGTTAATAAACGTCAGTACTTTACCTTGGGACGACGCCATAGGCACCTAGACTGATACTCGCTCCCACCTCAGATTACTCGATGGGACTCACGGGAGCCTACGACCTACCTAAGCGAGAAGTCGGAGACCGTTCGGTACCAGTCTAATGCCTATTTAGGTGCACGCTCACGAAGTTTAGTGCTATACAAACATAAATGTCTGCGGTGACGTTTTACACAAGTGTAGCGATGTGCGGTTTAAAATTGTTCACTCAATGTCGTTCTGTTTCCCGATAATAATTTGTCATTCTCCAGCTGTTTTCGTGGTCAAATGGGACAATGGACTGTGGCAGTATGCGACAGACGAATGTATATACATTAATGGTCTTCTGCATTCAAGTTCCTACAGATCCAAGGGTCCAAACGGTCCGTTGTTCCCAGGCCAGAATTCCTAGCGGTACGTAGAGGCCTACACTATCTGATATTCTCCTCTATATCAGCCACAGGCACCTTGGACCGTTCTTCAATAATATAACAATGATGTTGAATAAATACAACATAATAATCTTATATGTTTGATTGTTGACCAAATAACTTCATCATTACTCGTTCCAAGTACACCCGCTGGTGCCAACATCATAGCGGCGCCAGCGCCATCTTTGGCGATCGCACAAACCTACCACAGGTATAGAGAGACTTGTGTTATCACTGTATATCACTATATCTACTATCACTTGCTGTATCACCAAACCGTGCGCGCTATGTGTCTGCAGCCGGTCCCTGTATCTTGAGGGGGCGTATCAACAATTAAGACTATTAGTAACTGAGCTCCCCAAGCTACTGGTTACTGGTATGGTCTGTATGACAGAATTGTATTTATTAGCTCAATTGACATTAGTAAGATGCAGCTTGTTAGAATCGCATGATCGTCCGTGCCGTCCGTCCGTCCGCCAGAGTCGGTCCAGTCCGTCAAAGTGGCGGCACTAAATCTTAAGAACCGCGCTCGACGTACGTCCACGATATTCGGAGACGTGGTTGAGGGGGTAATCCGAAAACGAGTTGGGGATGTTCGAAGCTGGAGGTCAAAGGTGATCAAAAGGTTCAAAGATGTAAAGAAGGGGGAACATTCACTTTCGCTTAACTTTAAGGGGTATAGGGAGAAATGCAGAATTTGCGGCGACAAATCTAAAACCCCGGCCTCGACCTAGGCTCTGTCCGTGATAGTCGGTGTTGATGAGCATCATGGGTAGGAAAAGCCGTGCAACTTGTGTGCGAAATTGAAGAGAGTTCACCAGAGTCAAATGGTTCCAATGGGGCCACAGGGCAGATTTAGACATCTTTCTGAGGACATGGTTCTGACGTGAGGCGCATGAAAACTTTTTGTTTCAGCGGGGTGACCTAACATTGTTATGGCTTTAATTGAAAGCGACATGAAATATGCTTCTCCACTGAGTGCTGAAGAGTAATGTGGCGGAAACATTCGACCCTCAAGAGGAGAAACAGTTTGTTGACTGTTACATCAAAGGACGAACGCTGCTATATAGAGCCCAACCAAGTCGACACTGCTCAGTTTAATTGCAAGGCAAATTGAACAAGGTACGCTCCTTAATATCATATGATTTTCTAAAGCAGTCTGGTCTATAGCCCACCCTGCCCTGGGCCTGGAAGGGCTGAATGATTGAATTCACGTGAATAGCTCGATTTGAGGCAAATATCCACATATGCCATGGCTTGTGCACGCTCGTAATCTATAATTGTTTGGCTTGGCCACCTGCAATGCACCTGTTAACTTTCGTACAGTTTTGAGCAAAATGTATCGCCTGGCCCTGAAGTATTACTTACTTGGACTTTTAGCCGTACACCTACTGGTAGTGGATTTCAGGAACTCGATGGCCATTCTGGTTGTTAGATTGATTACAACTTGCACGCGGCCATCTCGCGGCAACTATTAGCCTAGTTGTAAATTAGACTTTTATCTCATGTAACTTTGTTAAACGAGGTGATAAATAATAACTATACCATGAATAATATTATAATTATAATTTACTTTTCATCTTCTAATCTTAATACATATATCATGGTAGCTATGATGGCCGTGCGTATCATTTACCAGATTTGTCTGCGAACATAAGCTGTTAACGCATTTTTAGAAATATTAGATGACACTATATATTATGATTTCGTATTGACTGTACACTCAGGGGCATAAGGAAGAAAGTATTATTGAGGGCGGCAGTAATAAGGCCATCATCGCTGGGTTTTTTTAATTTTTTTTATATAATTAGATGGGAGAGAAAGTCTTAAGATAAAGAGAGAGAAGAGGAGTAGTAAATTGTGACTTGGCGACAGGTAAAAAACGGTTGATACGGTGGGTCGTAGTATGCGAGCGCCGGAATAACGGTTGGTAGCATGTAGTCGGTTGCGGAGGGATGGTGTGCATAAGCGCGTGCCGCCTATGGGGTAGAGTGGGAGGCAGGGGCGGAGGTTGAGGTCGAAGGACAGGGGAGGGAAGATGTGGAGTGTAAGGGGGTGGAAAGTGAGAGGCACAGGAGGAGTGAAGTTGGGACGCAGTGGGGGAGGAGGTGGAAGAGAAGGGACTCCCCGCCCTCTAATTAATACTTGGAGATCCATGCTCATTATGTTGAAATTCTTTTATTAGACTAGTATAAAAAAGATAGCTAGTGAAATTCTATGACACAAATTCGAAGTGAAAGGCAAGTATCCTTTAATAAAATAAACCAAAATCGCATGGGGGGGAGATAGTGAGCGTGTCCTAACAATGATGTGTACGCAACTGCGTATCTGCATATCTGCGCCTAACAAATGTGTCACTACGCACGACTGAAATTGTACGTTCATAACCGTAGCAACAGACCCCAGATGAGCCCAGACGCTCTGCGGCTCTTGTTAACCATCATTTTATTATTGAAACGGTCCAAGTGCCTGTGCTACAGGCTACAGCCTACAGGCGCAAATCCACTTTAGGCACCTATTATTAGGTATCACGAAGTGATGCACAGATTTCTGTGTATCATCAACTGATGCACAGATTTCTGTGTATCATCAACTGATGCACAGACTTTCCGTATATCAAGGTATGAGGTATGCACTGCATGAACCCATGCACCAGTGCACTGATGAATCATCCCTATAATAGATCCTATAATCTTATCCTAATAATAGAGGAGGTGTAATGAGTAGTTTTATTTTGCAGACCTGCCAATGTAAATGAGTTTAATGTTGGAGTCTCAAGAGAACGGATACAGAAGATGCAAGACAGCCAACGTGGTCCATTCCTAACCATCATGCTGGACAGAACCCTGAGCCCTGCCATTGCAACTCAGCACCATTTTACGGGATATCGGTTGGGAGCATGGTCACCGCAACATGTGGACCCATTGCATAGGTATAAGTTAATACTATAAAAGTCTTCAAATGGATATAATGCAACTTATTATGATGACAAAGTATATCACGTCTCTCTCTGTCTGTCTCTCGCTCTCGCTCTCACTCTCTCTCTCTCTTGCTTTCCCTCACTCGCACTCTCAGTCTCACCCTCATTGTCTACCTGTGTGTGCGTGCGTGCGTGTGTGTACATGCCTGCATGTTAGGCTTTTGTCCTCAGATGGATTTTTGTCCTGGGAAAGAATCTAAGTTTTAAAAAAATCGGTGTTATTTCTTTATTCGTGCAAATCATCAGTTCAGCACTGTTCAATGTTGCTATCTGTTGCCGAAGACTTTTAAAGACCCCTAAATGTCATTGGTGGATGTTAAGACTCGTAACCAATCATACTCAGTGTATAGAGGTCAGCACAAGCAGATCTATGTGTAATACCTTGGGCCCAACTGTTTAATTTATGGACAAAGAGCGAGGTGTTCCGAATGGCAAACTACTGCTGGATTATGCAGAAACTAGCCTAAGGCGACTACAGTTTAGGGCAGCCATGCTACTAGACGAGCAATTGTGCCGATTGCAAAATAACTCTTAATCGTGTTTACCTAGTCGACATGGTACCTACAACATGGACATAGACTTGGGGCACATAGCATCGACTAATAATCTCTCCTGTAAGGGGACCGACAGAAATACGGGTCTATGCAGCATCACTATTTATGAGCATTCTCTTCCGAATTCTGATTGCATTGCATGAGACAATGCAAGATAAAAGGATTTCAAAAATATTTTTCGACTTGTCTCGTGTTTTCCTCACTTTTACGATAATTACCGTTATTGCTTGAGTAACAGCAAGTGTTGTTTGAATTAAGCACACTATGGGTGCACTTGCCATTTGTAAATTAATTGTCGCTATAATCAAATATGCCATGTTACGTGTTTAATTCCAATTTTCTATGCTATAACAGCATAAATACTAGTTTATCAAGTTGATGTATTCAGTAACATATCCGCTATTAGGTGAGATTATATTTCGCTATATTTTTTTCTCTAGATTTTATGTTTTTAAGCAATGATTTAGAAATCATTCATTTAAAGATTCTTTGAGTTACACTAAGCTAGGTCATTGCCGGGTTTTCCTGTATGTTGTTAGTGGTTAGAGTCACAATGCCAGGTTTTTACACCTTGAGAAAATTAACTGCCCTGAATGGGGACTGCATGAACTCATTCTCTGGTATTGAAGCTGGGCATGTTAGCTGCTTCTTAAACCACTGAACCACTGAGGTTTCTTTGTACAGGCTTAATGTAATACAAACTACACAGCAGCTACACACCTGAGCCCATGCCTTTCACCACAACTCTCCTTCCTGTATTCTCGATGAGTTGCCGAACCTGCTCTACAGCCAAACTCGTCTCAACAATGACAGTTTCATTTTTGAGATCAACCTGTGTGGATTGAATGCCTGGTACAGAGTCAAGAGCATGCTGCACAGCATCCTCACAGCTGCGACAGGTCATCTCAACTGCAAACTCCACCTGAAATAGGTAGCATATTTACTCATTTAGTCAGCTATAGCTTGTGGCATGTAACACGCGTGAAATGATCCGTGTAAAATACTTTTACGTGTGATATTGCGGTGTGTTAAGTTTTTGGATGTGCACCGCCTAGGAGTAGGTTTATGATAGCCACTCACTACTTCTAAGTTCTAACTTCCGACTTCCAAGTTCTGGCCAAGAAGAAGCCAAAAAATTCCCAGGCCATGCAGTGCCAGTGCCGTGGCAGTGCCACTGCCAGTGCCAGGGGCGCTCATATAGGGTCTATGTCTCCCAGGGTACTGCCAGAACGTACCCTGGTAACTATCTGATATGGTTAGGGTTAGGGTTAGGGAGTAGGCGTAGGCGAC